ACCCTCCCACAGTCCAGAAACATGCTGAGGTTAATTGGTGATTGTAAATTGTCCGTAGGTGTGAATGTGAGTGTGCTTGGTTGTCTGTCTCTAAGTGTAGCCCTGTGATAGACTGGTTACCTGTCCAGGTGAACCTGCCTTCACCCTGAGTCAGCTGGGATAGACTCCGCCCCCCATGACCCTGGTGAGGATTAAGGTGTAGAGATGATGGATGGATGGATGCAGATGTATTTTAGTTCTAAAAAACAACAACAACATTGAACTCTAATGAGCAGGTCTGTTTAGAGGATTTATTTAAGTCTCTTTGTTTCAGACGTGAGCTTTCAGTTTCCGTCTATCTGCATACACTTACTAGAACTAAGACAGTGTCTGTTTGCTTTGCAGCTGTCTGCAGAAACAGACGATGAACACTGTGTATTTAATGTCTCGGACCACCTGTCCATTACAGCCGTGTGTCAGTGGAATAATATTTCAAAAAGCAAACATTTGGCTTCAGTCAACAGTCAGTCATTGTGGCTAAATGTGTTTTATTAGTGAGATCAAGACTGAGTTTAAGTGACATGATTGGGAGGAACATTGTTTTATAGGAGTCCCATTGATGGGATGCTGTCTGAGACACTTATTTGATGTATTTCGAGTAGTGTGTGTTGTTAATGCTCTTTGAGAGGCATGACAAAATCTTTTGTAATCTCGCGGCTGTGACTGACAAAATCTGAAGCCTCGTCACATCGTACTTCTGTTGACTTACATAGACCCATAACAGGCGTCTCCTACAGACCCACACAGCCAACATTTCCCCAGGGATGTAAATTCCAAATTCAAACCCTACCATTTAACAACTGCTTACAGCTCGGAAAACCACAGAGAGACTGAGGTAATTATGTGTGTGGGTGAAACTTTAACACTTAATGCACGCCAAGGCTGGGCTCTCACTGTGCCGCTGTGTGTTGTACCTTATACAAGCAGGGGTCAGCAGATCGGCAATTAAAAGCAGCAGAAAAACAACCAGCCACTCAGTCATTAGAACGGCTCGGTACATTTGCATTTAATTCACCCATTCTTACCTCTGCAACCACTTGACAGGTAATCAGTCTGTTGTAAATGAACAGTCTGTCCCCCTCTCCCTCTCTCTCCCTTTGCTGTGGATGAGAGCGATCACTTCATGCACTTGTTGACACATAATGGACGTTTGCAGCACTTTTTTTTGTCCGGATTCGTTTATTCTGGCACATGAAACATATGACAACTCCCACGAGGAGTAGCTCCGAAGTGCTTAAATGTTCTCTTAATATTATATTTTGTGCTTTGGGGAATGAAAAATGGATGCAAACTGAGAGTCTACAGTTAAGCTGGTTACTCTTTAGAATTGCTGGAAGTGTCATTAAAACATGCATCCATTTAGTCACTGAGCAACTTCATGTTCTGATATAATGATGGTGCTGGATGACAAACCAGAGGATCAGCAAAACTGTTCCACTCCATCATGATGTTTGTCAAAAAAAATATTATTGGAGTCCATCAAAGAGTTGTTCAGACGTGCCACTCAGAACCACAGCCTGCTGTTAGAACTAGATTAAATGTCACAGAACCACTGAAGTCCAACCAACCGCAGCGTACGCTTCAGTGGCTAAAAATAATACGACTGTCTGCTCATCTGCATGGAGACCGTTTGTTTCAGTTGTGAGGAAATGAGCTTTAAGCACACACAGNGAAGAAGGTTTTACATTTAGTGTCGGATCATCGAGTCATGACTGTATTTATTTTCACATCCATGCGTTTCCTTTTGTCTGTGTTGCTGCATCGCCGTACTGTGGCCGTATGCTCGAGCTTCTCTGTTCTTTAACTGGACCTGAGCTACCGCGCTGTGCCAGAGCAATCACCACCAACGCCGTCGCATGGCAATAACAGTAAAGTATCAGAAGCATTAACTCAGGAGTCTCAGCCCATCACTCTGAGCTGTGCTGATGTTTCAGGCAGTGGAGGTTCACCACTTTGCCTAAGTTAGGATTTTCAGGCTTAAGTAGAAAGGAGGAAATGGACGGTAAATTCAAGTAAATGTTGCCTAGGTGATGGCTGACTCTATCCTACAGGCATTGCTCACTTTATTTCTTAGAAAAAATTACTGCATTGCTGAAATGCAGCTCGCATAAGGATGATTTTCTGGGGCTGTTAAAAGGCTTTCTGAGAATTTGGTGGAATTTAAGGTTTCTGACAGTTGTGGGTTTTTTGATGCACTGCAAAGTGTGATGCTAGTGATCCGTTTTTCTCCACTTGCTGTTCCATTTACATCTAGACGGAAGATTTCCAGTCGTATTATAATGTTTTCTCTGTCACCACGGCAGTCATGAGCTGACACATGAGACTTACAGTAAAAAAAAAGAAATGTTTGAGGATCTACTCTATCAATTATCAGTC